TTGTCAACTATTCACTTTGGTCTCTTCAAACATTCAATAAATGAAAGTTAATTTTAGTTATGTGTTGCTGTATATCTGGTCTATGCCTCCCATTTAGAAAGCATAAATTAGACCTGACTATCCAATTTCATACAAATATATATGTACGGCCATTGCTTACCACTTTAATTCTAAGTATAACATATTATCTATATTGACCACGGAATTAATTAAACATTAATTGGACGTGGTAATAAAATGGATGATATCCTCTTAATTAATTTATTGCTGAAGTTAAATATTTCTATTTGTAATTCTTAATTACTAAACGTTAATAGTTATTAAAACTATATGTAAGAACCCAAAACATTATTCATTTATTGAATGAAATTTTTTACACGTAACTTCTGATCATGTTTGAATACGTCTTCGTATCTTATTTATAATAAAATTAGTTGTTCATTAAGAAATACTTAAGTTGTTAATACAAGAAGTATTAAAAAACTCATTTAATCAAAAAAATTATCATAATTGTGGACTTTAATATTAATAGAATTATATTTTAAATATTTTCGAGATTATTACTATTTTGTTTTTATACTAAATTTAATTGCGTTAGTAAAAAATTGATTCACATTTTTTGAAGTTTCAACAACCAACTCGATTAAAAGACGAATGAGATTCAAAAATCGTATTTTTAGTTAATAATCGATCAATAATATAAGAGTCAAAGTTAAACTATCTATTAAATAGTTAGTTTAGTCTTAAGCCGATTTAAGAGTAAAAACTGTCAGATGTTTTAAAAATTTATAGAAATTCTTGTGGATTATGAAGGTACACAATCAAACAAAACTATACATTAATTTTAATTTTTTAATACGTGTATTTGATTTTAGATAAATAGATTTTAATTAATGAATATAATTTTGTAGAAAGGTAAATGTAAATGAAAACTTTTGATATTGCATAACACAGAAAAGTCTAACCACTGTAAATCGTTTTACATGAATTTCGTACACAACAACATGACCTGACTTTTATTTTGACTTTATCGTGTTGTTATCTCTGTTCACCAAACGTTTCAAACCAAAAACCTAAAGTCATATCTTTCCATAATTTATTATAAATTCGTGAGTTTTTTCAACTTATGTTATTTTATTAATTACTATTGCAAAAACATAATTTTGCTATGTAATAAACATAATTTCAGAGATAATTTTTTAACATGATTGTAATAAAAGTTGAAACTTTGTTATGGTGTAATTTATATTTGATTGACAGAATAAAAAATAATATAAATATTTTTCAACTATGGTTTGATTAGGTGAGTGATGTTAGATGATTAATAATTAATAGTTTAATGTAAAGAAATAAACATACCAACCACAGCTAGTCGGTGCCGCAACTGGAGTTGGTCTGTGTTAAGAAATTTGGTAAAGTGTCACTAAAAAGGAAGAAGTCAAGTGTAAAAGATGTGTATGTGGTGCAATTTAAAAAACTGGAAAAAAAAATCAATTTAAAACTTCATTGATTATGATTTCAAATTTTGAAAATTAGTATTTAACTAGGAATGTATATGTGTTGCATTTTACTTATAATATTATACTTAACTAAAAAATTTAAATACAATTGTTTGTAATTTTATCATCTTATTGTTGCTATAAATACCATCCTAATTTTCTATTCACACTTCATATACAGTTATCTAATGATGAAAATTTATTGTATTCCTTCTATATATTCAACGTAGTTTTGCTCCAACTAATATAATTGGTATAACAAATATTTTAAAATATATTTTTAAGGAGTTATTTTTACAAAAGCAACTTACATCCATAACAAACACATCTCTAAATTCTGGAATTGTTATCTCGAGTTCCTAAGTTCATTCCAATAATTGAATATTTTTTGTAAAGTCTAGGAAAAGCTTTTAAGAATGACACGTGGTTATTTTAATATTACGTGATAACATTATGCCTAAAATATTTCCTTGAGTGTGACTAAAAGTATAAATAATTGTCAAGTCTAATTTAGTTAGTTGTGTGATTAGTTTATAAATTTACATGTTTAATTTATACAAATAAAAAATAATAATTAATGATTACTATTAAAGGTGAAACGGGTCAATAAATAAATAAATAATCCCAATTTATTAAAATCGATCTCGTATTAATGAAAATTTATTAATTTCCGTTAGAAAACCGAACTTGTTGGCGTCTTTATTCCTATTAACATTTATAAAATTCAAGTGAAGACTTAAAGAAATAAATCCAATTTAATGAAGTAATTAGGTAATAATACAAATAAAAAAAATGTGTTATATTTTTAGTAAGGTGTTTTAACACTTTGAATAATCATAATGATTGCATGGTTTGAGTGAGTGATAAACATTCAAGTGATATGTAAAACATAACAAAGAAATCAAAAGACTTGCACAATAATTTATTAAAAAAATCAACTCAACCATTTTATATATTTTAATTATTTTAACGATGGATCGAAAATCACAATCAAAACATTCATTCATAATTTTCTTTCTATCCTTTAGGCCTTACTCACTTGAATGTATTTGAGAGAGAGTGATTGAGGAGATTTGAGAGGATTTGAAAGTAAATTTTTTTGTTGTTTATTTGAGTGAATTTGGAGGTAAATGAGAGTGAATTTGAAAGTAAAGTTTATGAGAATTAGTGTAGGATTTGATTGACGTGACAGATTAAAAAAATTTACTTCCAAATCCACTCTCATTTACTTCCAAATTCATTCAAATAAACAACAAAAAAATTTATCTTCAAATCCTCTCAAATATTCTTAATTACTCTCCCCCAAATCCATTCAAGTGAACAAAGCCTTAACGTCGTCTTAGGTCTCTGTTATAAAGTTATGTTTAGTTGTTTATATTCAAACTTTGAATACCTGTTAAAGACACACTGACATTCAAGTTACTTACTGTCCGATCAATATCATAGTAAAGTCTTAAATTCATAATAAATGCAATCATCTACATCCTTACTTTATTTATCTATTTATAAGTTTCAAAATAAGCTTTTAGTTAGAGTTGATCTAATCATGGTCCAAAAGTTGAAAAATGCATTTTACCTGTAAATATATTTGATTTGTAATGTGAGTGTCTAATAGATGTCTAACCAAACGGTTTGTTGAATAGTCATCCAATTTGCATAAATTTAAGATTGAAAATAACTCTTTCACCTAATGTTCTTTTGAAAACATTGATCATCCCATCAGTACGAAACCGATAGGACACACCGTACAGTAATTTATATTAACAACTCTTAGTTTCATCAAAATCGTCAACATAACAATTAGAAATTTCAAAACTAATCATTATACATTTAATATTCAACTCATAATTTCAAATTAATCTAAACAAATCTAAATAACGGTGAAATATATTTAAACTCCTATTTAAAAATTGTTTTCGTTTCATGCAACACTAATTCTAGTTTAGAGGGAAAAAAACTCTTAAAGTTTCAAAAATCTTTATTTATACCACATAACCGATAAAACAATATCGATACGTTAAACTAGTAGAACCTTATGATATTCACAATCTGAACCAAAGACTAAAGGAGAAACTTACAATAAATCAAATTTCGATAGGATAAAATTTATTCAATCAAAACCTAATACTTTTGTGGTCAAAAAATTGTTTAAGAGGTAAAGCAGAGACAACAAAAAAAAGGTATAAAAAAATCAGTTTACAAATATAGTGACTTTTAAAAGTAAATAACTAAATAATTACTTAATTATATACTTAATAGGAATATATTTATAATATTTGATACTTGTATATAGGAGGTTTTCAACTAATAAATAAATAGATCTTATATTTATCATTATCTATATATAAAAATATTACCCTATTTGATATTTATATTTATTTTTTAATTTTAATTTTTAAATATTTTTAAAATTAAAATAATTATTTTATCAATATTAGATTTTAAATAATTGTTTACTTAAATTTAATTTTTTAATTAAAAATATCTATAAAATACATAAAAATTACTTACAATCAAATTATAAAAAATATTTATATTTAATTTTATTATTATCATACAAAAATAACACACATACCTACGTAATCTATGTGTTTTCATATATATATATATATATATATATATTATTCTATACCTCTTATAAAAACCTGTGTATATAATATATTTGTAAAATTAATATTTAAAAAAGGCATATTTATATAAATTAGAAAGATATAATATATGTGTAGATATTTAAGCATTTTTTCTACATAATTTTTTTTCAAAAATAAAAATAAATAAAAATTAATAACATAAATAAGTGTAGATTGGATTTGGTATACATGGAGAGTTGGAGAGGCATTAACTTTTCTGAATGGATGACTGTTACCATATAAATAAAAAAATGATGACAGTTGGATACTACTATCTTCAACCATGAATATCATAAAATTGAGTTATATTATCTACAGACAAAGCTACGAGCATCTCAATGATAAAATAAATAAAACTTTCTTTATTTATTGAATAAAATGATTTGTAATAATAGACGTTATGAGAGAATTAAAGGTCATTTTCTAAAAAAAAAATCATACAAAAATATTTATACTTATTTTTAGCAAAGTAAAGATTCCCCAAGGATGTGTTCAATGTTACCTAAACCATGTGCAGTCAAATGAAGTAATTTTTGTAGCTTTTATATAGATAAATGAAAAGAATATACTAAGTAAGGAAGAATAAAATGTATTATGATGTTCACCCAGAGGTAAAGGGAAGCTAAAAAAATACATGTGTGCCCAAAGGAACAGACCCATGTGAGGTAATAAGAAATGCAAGAAAAACGAGTTGGCGCAACGTGAAAAACAAGGCCTATGAAAAACTCGGTAGTCTGGTCTTAAAAAACCACACCCTTGCTCGGTCCTTTCAAATGGATTGTCTCCATTCACTCGTTAACAATTCTTATACACTATTTATTTATTTATCAGCCTCCAATTCAACCAACCAAGCAACAAACACCGTCAGTCAAATAGAGGAACAACGTTAGACTTCCACCCCCACGGTTTCTTTCGGTTCTACGTCACACTGTCGAATAATTCACACGCATCACTTCGCCACCATTCTTTTTTATGTGGTCGTTTTGATTCCTTCCCTCTCACGTCCATTGGCTCCTCCAAAACACTTATCCCTTTTCATCTTACACCGCCATTGGCCACATCACGACACGGCGTCGTTTTGCACCAACCCCTTTCTCCTCCTCTACCCTTCCCATCTCTATCCTCACACCCTTATCGCCTCAAATCTTTTTTGTCCTTCTCCCCCTCTGATTTTTCGCCAAATTTCTCATCTTTTTGTTTCCTCCGCTTGATTTTTCTTCGCCTCAAATATTCTTCTGCGTCTCCTTCTCCCAAACCCCCTTTAACTCTTGTGAGGAGCTCAACAGATTTTGGGGGTTCTTTCTACTTGTTATTATTATATCATTCCCTCCTAGTTTTTTTTTCTTTCTTTCTTCTTCTTATGCCTTTGCCACAATCTTTATACGATATGTTGGAGAACCCTGCAACATTGGGGTTCTGTACACTTGTGGGAATGTTTTTTAGTCCTCTGTGGGTAGCATTTTTCGTTGGGGTCATTGTTGGATGGTTTTGGAAGCCGAAATGGGCGAGGTTGGGTAAGGAAAAATTAACAACTTCTCTTGCCAAATCCTTAGATTTTGCCTCACCCTCCTCGGCTTCTTCTCCTTCTAAGTCTGTAGTTTCTCCCATTAGGAGTTCTTCTTCGTCTCCCTGCCTTAACTCCATTAAGATGCAACGACCGAACCCAGAATCTCTGGCCATGAAGAAAGGGACAGATAAAAAAACTTCTTCTTCGTCCTCTCCCGTGAAATTTGAAAGTTTCGTTAGGTATTTTTGGATTTATACATTATTCTCATGTTATTCTGATAACATAAACAGTTGTTGCACAAATACAGAGTATTAATTAATCCATCTACCTTTTATTGTTCTTATAATGAAATTGGGGAAAAAGATGGAGACAGAAGAAATTTGGACATGTTAATATGAATTTGTAACATGTTCTTGCAGACTGTTTTTTTTGTGATTGACAAATTAGAATGTGGTGTTAGCTTTCTATTTTATTTATGACTTTGTTTTATCCTACAATTCATCCAAAACTACTGAAGAAACTCCCGATGCCGTGACAATAAGGGATTTTCATCATCTGTGGTTGCTTGTGGAGGAGAAAGATGGAGGTCTCGCTTGGAATCAGATGATGGATCGTTCTACACCTACTATGAGTTATAAAGCATGGAAAAGAGAACCAAAGGTATGCTATTTCCTTGGTAAAATCTTTTGCTCGTATTTGAATTACCTACTCTACTTGGTTGTTTTTTATATTTTTTTTGTTCGCTTGTTAGGATGGTCCTCCCCAATATAGAAGCAGCACTATTTTTGAAGATGCTACCCCTGAGATGGTGAGGGACTTGTTCTGGGATGATGAATTCAGGCCTAGATGGGACGACATGCTTACAAGCTCCTCAACTATTGAAGAGTGTCCAACTACTGGTACCATGAAAGTGCAATGGATACGGAAGGTGCATAACAAGTTTCTCCTGATTTAAGTGTATTTAATTGTTCTCCTAGCTCAGTGTGCTAATGGGTGCTAATTATCTGTGAAACAGTTTCCCTTTTTCTGTAAGGATAGAGAATACATAATTGGTCGGCGAATATGGGAATCTGGAAGACATTACTATTGTGTGACTAAGGTATGAGAATAAAGCTCACCCTTTGTTCTGGACTATTTGATTATGTTGATTGATGGTGGATGTTTTCCACTGTTATTACAGTATTATGCTTAACTTCGTTTTGTTTTGCTTTTTGTTCTTTCAGGGAATAGATTGCCCTTCAATCCCTAGAAGAGACAAACCTAGACGTGTTGATGTGTACTATTCTAGTTGGTGCATTAGAGCAGGTGAAATTTGATACCCTTGTAATTGAATTATAACTTGTACTTGTTCTTTTCTAACCCACCATTTAAAGTAGATGTTCCGTCACTGCTAGAATTGCTGGGACTGATATGGTATTCTTTTAACAGTGGAATCAAAGAGAGGGACCGGTCAGTTAACTGCCTGTGAAGTCTTACTTTTCCATCATGAAGAAATGGGCATTCCATGGGAAATTGCAAAGCTTGGAGTAAGGAAAGGAATGTGGGGAACTGTTCAGAAGATTGAACCTGGTTTGAGAGCCTATCAAGAAACAAGAGCTTCTGGTGCTGCACTTTCTCATTCAGCCTTTATGGCTCAAGTCAACACAAAAATAAGTCCTGAAGACTTGCAATCCATTGGAGCCAATGATAATTCAGAGGAGGATAGAAGTGTTGCTTCTCCTGAGAAACCACAGGGCGTGAACATTCCCAAGATGCTAGTTATTGGTGGTGCTGTAGCTCTTGCTTGTAGTCTGGATAGGGGTCTAGTGACCAAGTATCTTTTATTTGGTGTTGCTAGAAGATTTGCTAATATAGGTAAAAGATAGTTAAAAATGGAGAAGGAATGAATGCCTTAAATGGCATTCTTTTGGACGATAACTCTTGTTATTATTGCTCTAAAAAATTAGAATTTAGAGGTCTCTTTTGTGGAGCAATTAAGTTATAGTTCAAAAATAATATTAAAGAAAACAAGACAATCCCGAGGTGATGGAGGGAGTAGGTGGCGATTATTTTTTTCTTGGACTATGAGTAGTTCTCGTTGATCAAGATTCAGGGCTGTGTAAGTTTGTGTAAATTCAGTATCAATTAAAAAGGAAATACATGAAAAAGTCTTTCTGTGGTTCCTTTATTCTCCAAGTCACTCCTCTGGTGTAATTCCTTTGTCTGTTTTGAGTTATCCACACCCACAATCACTGTAACGACAGTAGTATAATATCTTTATATCGGTAACATTTTCTAGATTCTATTTGCAGAGCTCTTGGAGCTAATAATGAGTATTTGGCTCTGTCAGGCGACATCAGCTTTTAACCACCGAGATACTGGTTGTTGCTTTCATCTGACAACGTTTTTTTGTGTTTAACGTCTATTTCTACTAATCTACGGTTACCAGAAAATATCCAACATAGAAAATTACAAAGTGGGATTCGTTATATCTAATTTTGAATGAATAATACATATAGACTGCCTCAGTTTTAAAAATTTAAGAAGCTTTTAACGATGCAGGAAGAAAATAAAATAAGCTAGGATTATTTTGGTCTCGTATTAATTTATGCTCCATGTTTTCCTTTTCATTATATTTTAACTAGTGATATGTCAACGCTTCCTCTCTTTAAAACTTGCCAAGACCTAGTGAAGATGGAATTGATATGAAACAGTAATGAAGTTGTTGGGAGGAAATATCATCTTATAATAACAAATGGGTAATAGTAGGTTAACACATATATTAATTTGACAGATTTTTTAATGGAAAAGTGAAAAATAATTATCAAATGAATATAGAAGTATCTCAAAATAATTTTTCCCCGTATCTAACATTCATTCTGCACAAGGCACAAACAGTTCCATCCCAAGCAAACTCAATTCATCACCAAGGTTTCGAAACAATCTAAACCATCAAACTGTGGTGCCAATTTTGGCATTTGAAGGCTCTTTGCTCGTTCTTTCACTTCTGCTAGCATCTTTTGACTGGATACTGATGACCCTTGTTTGATTTCCTGCAGACAAGACATCTTGAACTTTAGCTATACAAAACATTGCATAGCCTTTCTTACCTTGACATACCCTTATGTTCTTCCTAAATAAAACAATAGATGCAACTTTTCTTACCTTGACGTTGTTTCTGCCTATGAAATAAAATCCAGCAGCAGCAGCAATAGCTGGCACAGCTGCAAAAATACTTCCCATGGCCATTATTCCCCCTGAAAGATCAATTCTTGAAATTGGAATGAACAACTAGTCTTTCATCAAGATATAAGGCAGAGGAGGACCTAAAGAGACAGAGAAGATGCCTTGGTGATGAAGAGAAGCAAACACTGATCTATAAAGATAGGAAAAGGATAAAAAGACAGTTAAGTAAGGTTTGCACTATCTTCAACTTTCTGAAAAGTAACTTCAAATGGCGGGATCATGGGAATATTTAACAAATGAAGACTTCACTTATTCTATGTTTCTGCTGTAAAACACCTTTATTTTTTCCCCAGTCGTTAAGAAATAACATTATCCCTTGCTTCATCTGAGTTTGTCACCTATCCCTCAAAGAAAATCCATGGCCTTGTCTCCTAAAATTGACCGGATCTGTAAAAAAGGTTTTAAAGTTTTGAAATTTAATTGAAATATTGAACTTTCTAAAAATAACTTTGTGGTACCTAATAGGAAAATGCATGTACTTTATTAATTAAGACTTGCTTAAAGGAAGAGAATGAGTGTGTGATAGGATTTAACTCTCTAATAAACTAATAGTCCTGCTTAAGTCTGTCAAATTTATAAGTTAACAGTTTTATCTTTTAAAAGAAATATCAGTAAGAAATAAGAGTACATATAAATTGTTATTAACCTTAACTTCTATTCATTGTCAAGCTTTTCTTAAGATGAAACACCTGTATATTGTTGATTCATTGTTTATTTTAGGCGACTCACTACCTTAAGCCCGAATTTCTAGTCCTATTTCAACAAGCATATACGAGCAAGATAATTTGTAAGCTAAAAAAATAGATTGTATGATTATACAATAATGCAAGAAAATTCTCAAATGATCTATTTAACCCATTATATAAAAGAGTGTAAAGAAGTTAGGTGATTCAAACACCCGATTCTGAGAAGGGAGAAAGTAATTTCAATTTTTCTTATTGTTCATTTCGTAATGCTAATTTTATCAATCTCTGCAGAAATTATACATGGTCCGTAGCAAATATACGTTACTCATTGTTGCACCAACCCTGCGCAACATAAAAACATGTACATTTGATTAAAGGATTACTGAGGTTATTGCATGAAGCTCTGTTGAAAGAATGGCACGTTGTTGTGTTCGAACAGCACATGTCATTTAGCTCATGCTTTTCTGTACCCTCCACCGTCCCTTTAGTTCTTCCCGTTCCATTATTTTTTTGTTTTCTGGCAGAAAACATGTTTTTCCTTCCTCTGTTGACTCTAATGAAGGACAGAAAAAGATATATCCACCTTGATGTCGTGGTCGGTTTTTAGTATCTTGAAGGAGAGTGGAGTAGAGACCACCAAATCCAAAATGGCTATGGTCGGCAATGGGAAAACGAGAAGAGCACTATTTTGGTGGCAATGAAATTACGTGGTGCACTACCAACTGAAAGAAAATCTGCACCTGCTTCACATTTTTCTCCTCTAACTCTGAATAAGTGATCACCGACCAAAATACCCTTTTGTTATCCCTTTACCTTGGTGGAATTGTGTGGAGGAAATTGGCAGAAAAAAAAAACATACAGATACTGTATCATTGCCTTTAATTGAAGCAGATTGCTGTGGGAGTAGGATTCAATCACTGTAATTTAAAAAAAAAAAAGATCTATTTTTTATTGTTAACAGCTTATTTATACATCCAGTTTTCTTACACGATGATTGATGAAGATTACTGGTAAAAAAGTAGAACTGCAATTATGGCCACGAGCAATTTTTAAGTTACGGGATAAACATAGTTCGATTTCTGGTGTACACACAAGTTTTCTCAACCGTTGATTAAACTATACAGAAAACAAATTAATTGAATTGAATTGTCTCGTATTTGTATACGACGTAATTATTACAAACAAATTGAGAAGGTTGGAGACGAAGGAATCCGTCTAACAGAGGACGATGGATTCAAAGCAGTGTAACCCGTCGAACTCTGGAGCAAACCTGGGCTTCAAACGGGCCGGGTTTTGCTTGGATCCACCGGTTGAAGATTGATTGGGATCTTTTCTAGCGGTTTTAGACTCGGCGGAGGAAGAAGTGCCGTTGGAGTTTGGTTTTGAATCGGCTCCTTTCACCGGGCCCAGGCCCAACGAGAAGCTCCAGTTCTGGCCCTGCGCGATGTCAAAGTGGCTGAACATAGACATAAACATGTTGTTGAGTAATGGGGATTTTGAAAACAGCGGTGTCTGGTATTTTGCTTAAGTTGAAGTTGTTGTTTCTGCGACGATGGAAATATGTTATACGAGTATTTATATGGAATTAGACGAATAGGTGCAAAGGAAGAGTCGTAGGAAATTTGATTTGGATTTTTCAGGAAGTTTCTGCATATATGCGGTGTTTGGGTGGACGCTGCTAGAAGTTTCGTTGCATTGACACGTAATTGAACGATTTACGCGATCAACCTTCACCTTAGTTGACTCGTGTATGGACAACCAACTTTGATTCAACTTAATTTTCTTATTCATTCTTCACCATACACGGTTGACCAAAATTGAAAAGTTAGTATAATAACAGAATAATAGTTCCATATTGGTTAGTGATAATGTGAAAAACCCTTAGATGATGATGGTAAGGTTTGGTATTTTCACCTGCAATTTACTTCAATTGTTTTCGTTATTTGATCGAGGTTAGAAGCTGACATTCAATTTAACTAAACCCAACTCAAATATCTTAGGTTCAGTTTCTTTTGTTTAATTGTTTTTAAACCACTTTAACCCAATTTAGTTTGAGTAAGTTGTTTTTAGTTGTCTTAGAACAGCTTGCCCAAGTCAATTTAGTCAACCTTCCCTACATGATTAGGTAATAGATGACATATGTGAAATTCACACAACCAAAAGTAACTACATGTGTATTTTTTTTAAATATTAAAGTATTCAAGTATTAAATAATATAATCTATTTTTAAAATATTTTAAAAATCTAAACAAAATCATCTTAAATTATAAAATTTAATAAAAATAAATTTAAATTCATAATCAAATTGATCTAATAACCCAATTAATGATGGATTGAGCTAAATTGATATAACAAAAAAAATGTACAAACTTCATCCAACTTAACTCAACTTTTGGATGACGTTTATGATTTATTTGTCATAAACATCACTATTAATATATACCATATGTGTACGTGTGTGTTATTAATAAAATAAGATAAGATAAGAAATGTTAAAATGAGTCACTACATCCATTTTGGTTACTCTTAATTTTTGTTGCCAAAAGAAACTAAAAAATCCATAAAAAGGAAGCTGAATTTCTAACTCGTTAACTTATCTATATATCTATATAAAAATAATTAGTGTTGATATTTTCTTCTAATTTTATCTTTTAAATAATTTTTAAATTAAAATAATTATTTTATTAATTTTATTTTTGAAACAATTATTTTTTAAAATTTAATCTATTTTTTATTATCCGTTTTGTTAAACTTAACTACTTTTTTCACTACCAGAGAAATTATTTTTAAATAAAGTAATTTTGGCATTTATGACGATTTTAAATTTCACTAAAGGCAGTACTTACGGTTTGTTTTTTCTTTAAAAAAAAAAAGAAAAAAAAAACGACGTTAACGAATTATCGACAGTTTTGACTAACTCTTGATAAGGTAGTACTTACTGGATATCGGATATTTACATGTGATTTGATAACCTTTGTTACTTATTAATGACTATAAAATCCCTTTTATTTATGAGCAGTTTACAAATTCTTAGTACTTTGTAAGAGACCTCACCTAATATAACGGTTTTAAATCAGTATTACAAACCTCAGTGATTGTTATCCTTATAATATAATTAATTATTTATTAATATTTTACTTAATGTTTTAAATTTCCTTAATTTATTTATTACACTTTTTTAATGCACATAATTCCTAAAACATATGAAATAAAAAGTAAAATTTTAAAAATTTGTTATTTGTTTATATTTAGATATAGCATTCATAAAAAAAAAAAGCATTGTTCATCTAACCTCTCATTTAATAGTATAAATTACTAAATAAAAGATTATATATCCTAATATAGTACAACATATAGATAAAAAAACATATAAAATATTGTTAAACTTATCCGAATAATAATTATATAACAAAATATATGTACAACCTCTATTACTAATTATCTCAAAAGAGTAAATTTCATAAACAAAACATCTATACATATAAACATATATATTAAAGCCCAAAACATCACTCAACTCCATCGTCTAACTCCAATAAAGGAAAGTTATCACCTATAGCGTCCTCTGCTTTCACTAATAGGTAATTATTGCAAAGAAATAAAACAAAACACATAGAAACAAAGCAGAATAAATAGTATACAAAGAAATTATCATAGTTTAAAATAACATATCAAGTTTCAATTCAATGTTTACAACATTATATCAAACATATAATCATGCAAGCAAGTGACTCTAGATTCAATTATCCGGATATGATGCTTTGGCACAAACTTCAATGAAGGCTTGCATCCATGGTAGCATTTATGCTCTGCAACATTATAAATAAGGGTTACTCGACCTACTACTCATGAGGTTAATCTTTTACTCCTAAGACTCAAAAGTCTAAGGTAAAAACCTTCTATCATTCTCTTCGCCACGCCATTCCTCTTTACTTGAGTTGAATGGTTGGTAGAATATCAAGATACCTCCTTTCGAAATATTTGTCTGCCAAGCATACATTATAACTTTCTCAAACACGGAACCTATCCTCGAAGTTCTTCTCATATCACATATCTTCCATTCTCACAATCATATATATATATATATATATATATATATATATCATCCAATAAACATTAATAGATATCAACATAAGTATACTTTAAACCATTTCAAACAAAGCATCACTTAGAAAACATTTAAGGAACTAAAAGAAATAGGTGTCGTGAGGTTAATAATCTCTATTTCTTTTGAGATAATCGATTATCTTACTTGATAATCGATTATTTCAGAGAACTCTTCAATAAAGAAGGAACTTTGTCTAAAATAATCAATTACTAGATAGGATAATCATTATTCCAAAGAGATTCTAAGCAAAGAAATTTTTTTGACTAAGATAATTGATTATCAGATAGGATAATTGATTATTTAAGAGAGTTTTGAAGAAAAGAAAAAATTTTGATTGAGATAATCGATTATCTGATAGGATAATTAACTATTCCATAGAGTTTTGAAGAAAAGAAGGAATTTTGAGTGAAATAATTGATTATCAAATATGATAATGACTATTTCTGTCAATTTTTGACCACTACCTAATTTTTTGATATGGTTGTACCTAAGACTCATTCAAATGACCAAAGTGGTATCCTTCACACTATAATTAATCCAAAAACATGTTTATGACCATAATTGAATACCATTTTGCTCTTTTGGTCAGGAATCAGATGTATCATATCAAATCATCATTCTAAAATCCGTATACCATATTTTACACATTTCAAATCAAAATTTTGGTGACCTAAGTGGCCAAACAAATCTTAAATGGCATAAAAACAAACTCCAAC